AGGGCCCTGCTACTTGTTGGGAAGACCGGGATTGAAATCCCAGCTGCCAGCTGTGGCTTAGCTCCGCTCCAGCCACTGCAGCCCTGTGAGGAAGAGTGACCCAGGACATAGGAGCATGCATGTGCCTGCTCTCCTCAAATACATAAACATGATTTTTTAAAGGAGAATGAAACAGTTGTGTTAGACTTTTAAGTTTTATTTGCTGAAACAAATGATTAACATGTGACTCACTTTGCATGACTGAAAAATTCAGATTTTAAAGGCTTTTAAAATGAGGGAAAACCAAGCATACATTGGGTTTATGCCCCTGTACATGAGCCTGTGGGCTCCGGTTGACATTGCCTTTCCTTCCTCAGTCAACTCCGGTAAGTGAGATAGTAGACTCGTAGCCTAGCACATTCCCAATGCTCTCCCAAGGGCAGTGGACAGCAGCACAGCAAAACAATCATCACCCACAAGAGCCCTTCCTTAGGAGAAAGTTTCCTTGTGGCCAAGGAAAGAAACAGAATAGCATACTACACCCTCACACAGTTCAGATAAGATTGCTTCATTGCTGTATTGGAAAGGCAAAGTGACAGATGATGCAGCAATGGGAGATCTTCCGTTCACTGGCTGGTTCTCCAAGTGCTTGTAGCAGCCAGAGCGCACCAGGCTGCAGCCAGGGCCAGTGCCGCCATTTGGGAAGTACACTAAGCCATTAGACCTCTTTCTCTTTCTGCTTCTCTACTAAATAAACAAAAATGAAAATATTTTGTAAAAAGAAGAATACCAGGAAACGGTCATCTTTTGAAAGACAGCCCTTTATTATGACTTATTTAAAACAAAAATGGTCTTTGCCTTTTAGAAATATGTTCTGATACATTTATGGAGAAAATGATACACTGTCAGTGATCATATTCAAAATAAGACAGTAACTAGGGGAACTTGGTGGAAAGTAGAACTGAAACCAAACTGGCAATGAGTTGCTAACTGCAGTCACTGAGACAATAGATACATGGGCATTTGCTATATGTTCTGTCTTATATGTACATTCTGAACTGACCATAATAATAATAAAGGGCTGTGATTTGAACAATATTGGGCCCTGGCCTCACGCACATGTGTAAACCAGAAGTCTTAAGTTAATCATATTAAGAGGATGAAAACAAATGTTAGTGTTTGGAGGTGGAGCTTTTGAGAAGTGGTTAGATTAAATTTGGTTGTTGATCAGAGGGATGGCTTTATAAGGACAGACAGATGGATATGTGTGCTCCCTCTTGCCATGTGATCTTTTGTGGAGACTCTGGACTCTGCCACCAAAACACCAACCCAGAGGCAGTACCAATGGGGCCTGCTCAGTCTTGGACTGGGTACCTCTAAGACTGCATCAAAACAAACCTCTCTGGGGCCCAACGTGCTAGTTTAGTGGCTAAAGTCCTTGCCTTGTATACACAGGAATCTCATGGGCGTCAGTTCATGTCCCGGCTGCTCCACTTCCCATCCAGCTCCCTGCTTGTGGCTTGAGAAAGCAATTGAGGATGGCCCAAAGCCTTGGAACCCTGCACCTGCATGGGGGCCTAGAAGAGGCTCTTGGCTTTGAATCAGTTTGGTTCTGGCCATTGCAGCCACTTGGGGAGTGAACCAGCAGACAGATCTTCCTCTCTGTCTCCCCTTCTCTCTGTAAATCTGACCTTCCAATAAAAATCTTTTTAAAACAAACAAACAAACAAACAAAATAACCTCTTTCCTTTAGAAGTATCCTATGTCCAGGATTTTATTGTAGTTACAAAAAGCCGAGGAGGAAGAAAGCACCCCTACTACAGAACACATCTCTTTTGTGTATGTTGGGAATTTTGTTAGGTTCCTAAGGCTGCTATACTGAGCTACCACAAACCTGATGTCTTACGAGGAGACAGGTTTACTCTGTCCCAGTTCTAGAGTTCAAACATCCAAAACCAAGATGCCAACAGAGCTGCATTCATTTCCAAGTCTCTACAGGGAAATCTTTCATTGATTCCCCCAGCTGCTGGTGGTTCATGCTAGCCCTTGGCTTGCAGACACGTTGTTCCAGTCTGGCCTTCCATTCCTATATTGTCTTCTCTGTGTTTCTGTTGTCTGCTTAGGTGAGCACCATTTATTGCACTTAGGGGCCCATAACTCCAAAATGATATCATGTCAAGAGCTTTACTTACATCTGTAAAAACATTATTTCAAAATAAGGTCCCAGTCTGAAGTTCCAGGGAGCATGAAGTTTAGAGGAATACTATTCAACTCACTACAGGGATATAAAAGCTGGCTGTGAACACTGAAACTGGAGATTGGGAAAAATGAAAAAAAATACTGTAAAGTAATGGGATTCAGCAATGAAGTCCAGAACTAAGGTATTGCTGGTGGCAACTCAGCTGGACTTTACATGTAGAGATGCACACCATAGTTGCTACTTGAAGTAGTAACTAGTTGACATAGGGCCAGGAAGCAGCTGGAGGCCAAAGCAGAGCCCAGAGCCAGCTTCATAACAGCTCATCATGGGGATCCAATTTCAACATGAGCTTAAATGTAGCTATGCAGACCATAGCAGGGGTTGATTAGAATGAATCTATGGTGCAAGCAAAAGATGATCAAGCCCTGAGTGATGGTAGCCATTAGAACCTAACATGATTTGAAAGCTATTACCTATCAGTATAAAAAGTGATCATTTAAATGCTCATTAGTAGGTTAACCCTAAATAACTCTGCATATGTAGTGTGCCTTTGGTATAGTAGTTAGGATGCCACTAGGGACACCCAAATCCTTTCTTGCTGTGCCTGATGTAATACTGGCCTCTGCTTCCAGTCCAGATCTTGTTGCTCTGCATCCTGGAGGCAGCAGGTGATGGCTGAAGTAGTTGGGTACCTTTCACTTACATGAGTGATCCTGAAAGAATTCCTGGCTCCTGGCTTTGGCCTGGCCCAGCCCTGGCTGTGATGGGCATTTGGGGCATGGATTAGCAGATGCAAGTCTTCTCAATCCCTGTACCTTTCAAATAAAAGACATTTTAAGTACTTGTCATCATGAATCAAAAATTACATTCAGCTTGGATGTAAATGCACAAGTTAGGATGAAGCGATTTGACCAGATCAGATCGCTCCATTTTAGTTGTGATATGGCTGTCATAACAGTTGACAAATTTTTTCTGTAAAGGTAAAGAAAATATTTTAGGCTGTGTGAGCCATATGTTCTCTATCACAACTACTCAACTCTACACTGGAGTGTGAAGGCACCGTAGGCAGCGCTTGTATGTAAATAAGTGAGCATAGCTGTGTTTCAGTGAAGCTTGATTTACCAAAGCAGGCAGCCGCTGGATTTGGCCCACAGCTGTGGTTTGCCAATCTCTGCTCTACAGAATACGGAGTTCTTGGCTGGTTCTGCAATCAGCTCTTGTGGTTTGGAGCAAATTCTCCTGTCCTATTTTCTCTTTATTGTGAGAATTAAATAACATATATGAGTACAAATCAATTTGCCAGGTGATACAAAACTATAGGCTGGTTTTACAGTTTTCAAATGATCCTATTTTGGTTACATTCATTGTACTTTAGTCTTATGAGCTGCCTCTGAAGGTAGGTATCTAATCCTCGTTTCCTTGAGAAACCCGTTCATCCTCAGCAATCATTCTGCACACTGCTGGTCTCCAGAATGGGGTGAAGGTGCCCCCCTGCCTCTCAGAAGCTGACAGCTGCTCAAGCAATCTGACAGATCAGAGAAAGAGAGTCCAAGTCAGGAGCCTCGTGAGAGTTGGAGGCATGCACACGTCTTCAGAGGGAGAAGCACGAGGGGCAAGCTGCAGGGCAGTGAATGCTTGTAGGGGGAAGTACCCTGGGGTGGCAAGTGTGTCCAGGCTCCAAGGGAGGCAGTGGCACCTTAGGCAAAGGGGACGGGCAGAACTGCAGAGAGCACAGGCTGTCTTCTCACAGCAGCTCTCTCAGGAAAGCCCTGGAGCTGCCCCTGGGAGATCAGAAGAAAAGACTGCTTGGGCTTGCTGACAATCCTTAGTCTCATCTCTGAGGTTAAATTTCCCCTGGTTTATGAGATCTTATGAAGGGAGTTCAAGACAATTGCATTCTTTTGGAAGAATTCCTTTCACTCAGATAAGGAAAGTAGACGGAAGATGGGTTGGGAGTTAAGATGGAGTGGTCCCTGGCCTTGGAGGATGGGGAAAGCCCAAGGGAAGGCTACAAAGACCTTGATTCTTGGGCCTTCAAGTGTCCTGGGGTTTTAAGTGCTCAGTATGGCAGACTGTCACACTTTAGGGTATCATTTTATCAGTTCCAACAGAACCATGAACTTTAAAAAAAAACATTTTTAATTAGAAAGCTTTATAGAGAGGAGAGACAGAAGGATTTTCTATCCACTGGTTCACTCCCCAGGTGATTGCAACACCTGGAGCTGAGCCAATCCAAAGGCAAGAGACAGGAGCTTCTTCCCAGCCTCCAATGAGGGTGCAGAATCCCACAGCTTTGGGCCATCCTCAACTGCTTTCCCAGGCCACAAACAGGGAGCTGGATGGGAAGCAGAGCAGCCAGGACATGAACTCATGTCCAGGACAGGCACTCATATTGGATCCTGGTGCTTGTAGATAGGGGGGTGGGATTAGTCAATAAACTCATCATGCCAGGCCCCAGAACCATGAACTTTATCCATATGATTGGAAAGCTTCCTCTTTAGGTCATTCCTCCACTCTCTGGTCTGGAGAGCTTTTCATTTTTAATGTCAGTTTCATGGCTATGTGACCTGTGTATCTGCACAGGTTCTGCTGTTTAGAAAGGCCCTGGCTTGGTTTTTATGTTCTATTGTTGCGGTCTTGCAATTTTTAAAGAGTTGTTTAACTAAGGTCCTGCATATTTACAATTTGGCAGTCTTGCCCTTATATATCAGGAAGAAATACTAACTTTCCATTTTACATTTATAACACCTTCAAGCAACCCAAAATGTTTGACAGTAAGAAAACCTAAATGACCTCTTTTTCTTTCTTTTTTTTTTCTTAGGAAAAGAGTCCTGCAGAAAGTGTCACCTATCTTCTTCCATTTCTTGAGTCTGCCTTCCTTGAAGAAAAGTCCAAGGTAAGCACTTATATTCAGTTAAATTGATGGACCTCTTCTCCCAAAATTGGCAGAAATAAGTTGGTGGACTCACATTCAAGTATAAATAATCAAGGATATTTTCGTATTCTTACTAATAAAAGTGCTTTATGAAGGTAGATCTCAATATTTTTAGTGTCATGAAAGCATTGAGAGTCAAAGTGATGGAATTTTTGCATTATGAATAGCTACTTATTTTGTGGTCTAGAGACAAGTAGATACTTTCAAAGTACTATGTTCAGGAATTCCTGCTGCATTGTCTTTGAAGGCAAAAATATGCCAGAGCAGTGGATTATGCTTGTCTAGGAAGCACATGGCAGTGGGGATTGCCTGTGGGGAGGATGAGGGAAGAGTTGCTGACAAGGGCACAGCATTGCCTTGGAGCAGCTGTGAAGTCCCAGGGTTCTATCTTTGCTCTCTACAGCACACTGTCAGCTTTGTAGCATTGCACAGGACCCACAGCTGCAATGTCTAAAAGGGGAGTGTATGTATGTGTAGATGCAGTGAGCCAACCCACTTGTTTGGGTAAGTAGCTTGCAAGTCAAGGAGAGTCAACAACAGCATGACTTCAGGAGTGTTTTACTTGGTAACAAGTTTAAAACCAGATTTCAACAGCTATGCTAGGATTCACCAGTGCTATGGCTCCAGACACATTTTATACCAAACACTCCAAATTAATTGAAGGCATTGTTGTAGAACCCCCAAGTCAAGCCACTCATGTGATATGCAGAAAGCCAATCCCTGAGATCTGGGAAGCCTGAGCAAGGAGCCTGGCAGCTACTGCTTAGCTGCTGGGTTCCCTGAGCAGTCAGGGCTGAGAGGTGTGAGATCAGCTCATGTCCAAGCTCCTGGTTGGGCAGAGGAGTTCATGAGTTTCTTTTGATTGGTCAGTGATGCAGTACTTTTTGAGGGAATTTGTGATGGCCAGGTCAGGTGGGTTGCAGTTGATCCAGAGGTTATCTGTAATTCCTCTAAACCAAACTGGCCATCAAAGTTGTATCTTTTGTGGAGGACTCCTTGAGTTACGTGATTAAGCCAGTTGGCCCTACAAAGTTCTACTCTTTCAAGTAAGTGAATTCCTTTTTGATAAAGGACAGGGAGGGGCACCTTGTCCTAAGGGAGACAGCCAAGAGGCTGGGTCCTGCTTTTTGTAGGGGCTTGGTTTTAATGTTACTCCAAGATTGAACCCTGTTTATGTCCAGAGAAAAAAAATTATCTTTTAATTATGAACATTGTAGACACACACAAGTGTGCATACACTTAAAAATTTTGTGGAAAACAGAACAGAAAGTGGTCGGTCTGGGTGGACAAAATTTTGAGTTCCATGTGTAATGGGGAGTGTCTTCGAAAAGTTCATAGAAATGCATATTGTGAAAAAAATTCTACATGGATTTCTAATTTTTACAATGAAACTAAATCTTAATTGCATTTTAGCATGAACTTTTGGAAGTAAGCCCCCAACCATACACGCGTTGTAGCTGTAAGTATTTTCATTTTTGTTATAGTGCCGAGTTATGGCTGATATATTTATAATTGCAGTGTGCCACTGTTTGTGCCACATATGCTATTAGGTTCATGGGGCTTTATTCCTCAATAAGGAAATGAGACAATAGTTTGAGGCAGGAGAGTTTTATTGAAGGTCAGACAGCAGAGAATAAAGGTGGTGGGAAGGGGATGGTAAGATGCATACTTAGACAGCAAGCAGGGTCCCGAGGAACACTCTTCCTATGCCCACCCCCAGCTCTGGAGAATGGGCAGTTGTCCTATCCTCCTGGCCTGGGAAAGGGTTGTATAAATGTGTGCAAAGATCCATATACAGCATAAGTTGGGCCTCAGAATCTTGAGGGTCATTCTTAAGTGGGCTCAGTGGGCCTAGGGTGAAGTTAACTATTTGTGTTGCAGTGGTCTATCAAGTTGTAACATATCCAATATTTGTGTGTTTAAGGAAAGGAAAAAGTTCATGTATTGTAAATGAAAAGGGTCCTGGGGGAGGGGAGCCAGTGGGCAGGGGCAAAGGCACTCACGAATTGCTGCTTGCTGGCAAGGGGCGTAGTTAGGGAGGTGTCCCTCCCTTGGTGGGGGCCATGAAGGTCCCTTAAGAGACCATCACTGACAGTTTTGAACCCTTGGTGGGACAGATCAGATCAGCAAGCAAAGGAGGCAGCGTAGGCCTAAAGGTATGAGGAGGAAGAGTTGGGAGGGGAGTGAGAAGAGGCACAAGCCACAGTATCTACCAACATTTCTGAAAGCATTTGCTCTGAAGTTTAGACAGCCACCGTTACATTTTGGCTGCCTTATCCGGCAGGGTGTAAGCAGTAATCTTGCTCTGAGAACAGATGCCCCTGTACTGTTGCAAGCAGATCTTAGCCCTGCTGGTGCTGAGTTGCTGCTGTCGAGTGCTCCCCAGCTGGAACCCTGCAGAGGCCTGCCAGAACTCACTGAAGCCATTCTGGCAGCAGAGGAGATGCTGCAGCAAGTCTTCCTATGACTGTGCCCACCTCAGCAGCAGTTCCTAGGCTAGAAAGGAGTGCTCGCGGATGCCCAGCTCTTTCCTGGTGGATATTTGAGGTTGAGGAACCAGTAGATTGGCTATTGGGGTGGGGAGGGTAGCATTAATATTAGGAGACAAGAGTTCTGGTGTAGTGAGAAGCAGAGGTGCTGGTCCCCCAAGACAAGCAGGTCCCGTTCATGGAAGTAGGTTGCTAGGTAGATGGGAAACCAAGCTTTAAGTTTTTAAGTGCCTTGCGCTGTTCCTGGCTCATCCTCCCAGACACTGCAAGTGCCTGCCAATGTGGTGCCTCAGAGAGGTTGTAAGGGATTGTTGTCGGTAATTTGGGTTGCACATGATTTATTTTCATAGAGAATATCTATGAGGAACCAATTGGTACAATTTTTATATGCATTTGGAAGAAGGCACTGTGTCATTTGTGGTTCCGAGGTAGGTTGCCAGGGAAAGCGCCCATGCTGTGTAGAGGGACAGCCTACACAGAACTGGGAAGTAGGCACAGAGAGAGTGGGGAGCCCTGAGAACAAGGGGAGACATAGTAATTAACCCAGTATGCCTGGTATAGACCCAGGGGCCAATTAATAATTTTGATCCTTATGCCCCAAAGCTCAGGAGGGAGATCCCCAGGAGGAGGTCCTTGTGATGCAAGAGGGGCTGTAGCTAGGTGCAGGGCAGCAGTGTAGCAGTGTGCACATAGCAGCAACAACCGGGCCAGGCATCTGGAGATAAGGAAATTCTGTGACACGAGACAGAGTACTCAAATAAGCTTTAGGGCCCTGGGTACTTGGGCTGTAGGAGAAATTTCGAGAAATGCTATTCTCTTCTCCATCTTAGCAGACAGATGCGCTGTGTTGTAGGTCAGGCAGTGTAAGCAGAGATAGATAACAGACAGCAAATTTTTTTTTTTTGCAAGATCTGTGTTCTGTTTAGAAGTGAAATGGTGAGTTTGTTCCAAGCAGTGTGCAGCAAGGAAGCCTTGTTTGGGGACTGGCCAGGAGGGAGGCAGGGGAGCGGTGAGAGGCAGTAGAGCAATCAGCGTTAGGTGTTGGAGTCGGAGTAGGCAGAGCATCCTAACCAGAGGCAAAGGCAGTCAGGTGTGTAGTCGACAAAGTCTCCCTGCAGGAAGCACTCCCACAGGAACGAGAGGAGCTCTTGTTCTGATTGGATAGGGCTAGCGCAGCTTTCAAGAAGGGTCAGGACAAGATCATAGAACTGTCCCGGGTCAGACATGGGGGAGTCTGTTTTGTAGCCAGGCGTGCCGTCGTCCTTAGGCTCTTCTGGCCCTGATTTGTGAGCAGACACCGAGTCCTCTGGCAGGGTGGTTGAAGGGAAGAGTCCTGTCAGTGCTGAGCTCGCCGCCTCTTTGGGGCCTTGCCCTGGTTCGTATCTTCCTGGTTGGTCAGGATGCGTTTTAACCTGGAAAAAAAAATCAATCCAGGAAGGAAAGCATACCAGGTTAGCCACTGTGAAGGTTATCAGAACCATCAACCAAGGCCCACTCCAACTGGGTTGGGGCTTAGGGTTTTTACATAGATCGTCTCCTTGGTGAACCTGTAATGGCGAGGCCAGGGCAGACTTTGGGAAGGAAGGAATCTGCCACATGGTACAGGAACTGGTGAGTCTCGGCTAATGTCAACATACAGTCTCCAGGGGGAGGGAGGAGAAGAGGGGCCCAATCACCATCCCTGAGCTTGAAGGAGGTCCGTGGCTGCAAGGCATGGGGCATGCTGCAAAGGCACACATTGCAGTGGAGTGGGGGCGGGGTGGTCAAGCCGTCTGGGTGCACAGCCTAACTTTTGTGAGATAAGCCTTAATGTGTCTGTTGAGGATTGTGGGCAACAGGGGAGATATAGTTTCTATCATGTTTGGGGCAGTGGGTATTCCCTGGGAAAACAGAAATCAAAGCTTGTCCAGAAGCCAAGGAGAGGGTTCTTTCTAGAAATAGATTGCCCAAGAAAGCAGGCACAGTGGTAAACAAGGCAGTCTCCAACCATCCAGAAAAGGTGAGCAAATACTTTGTACTCAGCTGCCTCTGGTCAAAAAGATAGTCTGCCACTCTTGACTAGTAATTTGCTGTCTGACCTGGTAAAGGACAGAGGCAGTCTGAGGTGGCCATGAGGAAAGGCCTTGGGCACTTAGGGCAGGACTGAGCAAGCAGGCAATTCACATTGTGCCAAGCAGAGACAATGAGATGGACGAGGATTTATTACCCACATTGGAATTGGCTGGGAAGGGAAGTGAGAAGGACCTGCCAACTGCCTATTTTGGAAGTATTGTCTGGCCATTGTTAAGAAACTAGCCGTCTTGGGTAACTGCTCTCTGGAAAGGCAGAGAAGTTTTCTGGTGAATACTGAGGAGGGCTGAGGGTGAGAGCTAGCAGTAAGGAGGTTGGGCACATGGCCTGGTGTTTGTCCTTCTGCATGCTTTATTTCCCAGAACTGCAAGAGGTTGCTTAGCCTGGTGCCCCGCAGTAGGTGATGGCTGTTTGGTTTGGGAGTGTTGCTGCCCCCCAGTAGTTTAAAGATGAGGGGGGCCATTACAGTGGGAGAGCCCCAACTTATACCCAAAAGGGATGAGTGTAAATGGAATTTGTATATATACTCACTTTTGAGGGCTTGGAGAAAAACAGAAAGCTCTATCTGCTGTGAGGCTGTATTCCTGGAAAGGACCCAAGTTACAGGATAGAGCCAATAGTAAGAACACATTGCCGAGCAGAGAGGAGCCCTTAGTCTTGTTGATCTCCTGTTTATAAATCTGGAGCAGGTGGGTTTAGGTAAGCAGGAATCAGAAACACTAGGGAAGAGGTTTAAACAAAAAATAAGGCTTTTTTTTTCTTAAAGATTTCTTTTTTTGTTGTCATTATTGGAAAGGCAGATTTACAGAGAGGGAGAGAGAGGAATATCTTCCATGTTGATTCACTCCCAAAATGATCACAATGGCCAGAGCTAAGCCATTCTGAAGCCAGGGGCTTCTTCCGGGTCTCCCATGTGGGTGCTGGGTCCTAAGGCTTTGGGCCACCCTTGACTGCTTTCCCAGGCCATAAGCAGGGAGCTGGATGGGAAGTGGTACAGCCAGAATATGAACTGGTACCCGTATGGAATCCAGGTGCATGTAAGGTGAGGAATTAGCCACTAGGCTACTGCACTGGGACCAATATCAAGGTTTTCATTACAGCTGTGGTAGAAGTCTTGGGAGTCAGGAGAGTGAACAGATGTACCCTGGAGAAAGCCACTGGGATTTATAGAAGGGTAACCTGGAGGGGTTGGTGTTGTTCTGAAGTAGATTAAGCTTCTACCTATGACTTCAGCATCCCTTGTGGATGCCAGTCTGATCTCAATTGTCATACTTCTGATCCAGAAACCTGCTAATGAACCAGGGAAAGCAATGGAAGATGGCCCAAGTTCATTGATACTTGCACCTATGTAGGAGATGTGGATGAAGCGCCTGGCTTCAGCCTGGCCCAGCTCTGGCCACTGTGGCCATTTGAGGAGTGAAACAGTGGCTGGGGAGCTTTCTCCATAACCCTGTCAAGTAATTTTTAAAAGAAAGGTGGTGTGGCAGGTCTAAAACCGGATACCTGAAATCATAGAAATAGGATGAAAGGTTTGAGTGTGATGTAGACAGTGAGATTGTGAGAAAGAGCTGATTTTGAACTTTATAATATTAGCTATAAAACAGTATCAAGAATATAGACACGGGGTAAGTCGATACAGTTTTACCCAACTGTCTTAGAAAAGTAAGCTACTGGTTGAATATCGGGGCCAGAATACTGTGCCAGGAATTCCAGGTACAAAACTTGTGTGTGTCTACTCACAAATGAAAGAGTGTGGAGGTGCTGGGGCTGAGGTGAGGGCCTTTTTTAGCTGGTTAAAAGCTGTCCTAATAGTGGCTGAGCAGTAAGGAAGATCCCCAGGGCCCCCAGTCCAGGGATTTGGCAATAAGGTTGAAATGTGGAAGAAACTGGCCAGTCCCAAGAAAGACAATGAGTTTGGTTTTGACTGGGGAACTAGAAACTGGTGAACCGTTTAGGAGTCTTGTTTGTAAGCCTGTGGATAGGTGTAATGTGAAATCCTAAATTGTTGCCTTCATTGTGAAAAATTGGCCCTTGAGGAGACCCGATAGCCCTGATGGTGCTAGCTGCTTGTGAAATCCATTGTTAAGCATTGTGCAGGGCTCACACAGCAGCAGGGTGCCTATACACTAGGGGTAGAGTGCCGTGTTATCGAGACAGTAGGTAGAGGTCATTTTACAAAGGTTGTCCAAAACTCTGGAGGCCATCCCTCCATTCCTTGGGGGCAGACTGTCCAGGTTAGCTGTGGAGAAATCTTAATAGAGGAGTCTGGCCAACTAAAGGTGAAAATCCTAAGACGACCAGCAATGATGGCATCCTTCAGAAGTGCAAAGTGAACTGAGTAGTGTCAGGGGAGACAGAAGACATAGAGTGTATGGGTTAGGAACAAGTGGAAGTATGGGGGTGGAGCCTCATTTCTAACATGTAAATCTTGCACTAAGTGGTAGGGCCCATCAGGTCTCAATTTTTCACAGGAAGAAAAGGGTATTATAAAGGTAATTGGCTGGCCTGCCTGTTGCAGCTGACAGCAGTCTAGTGATTCAAAGTTGAAGTTTTTGTAAGGCCTATGGATGAAGGGGATCATAATGTTAAGGAAATGAGAAGGGGTCCTTGAGGGACATTTTTATGGGCTATGGTGAAGGGCACCTGAGGGATGTTTAGTGTCCCAAAGAACGGGAGTCGACTTGGCTGGAAAGCTATCTGGCAGTTGTGAGATGTGGGAGGCCTTGGGGGAAGGGGCTGGCGGCAGTGGAACATAGCTTAGCAGGATGTCCCACCGACTGAGTGGAATGAGAGTGCAACGAAGAAGCTGGGTGGAAAGACAGTGGATCCCTGCTAAGCAGATGACAGCGGCTGTGAGAAACCCAAACAGAAAAAGAAAGGGAACCGAAGGTACGCATGAAGCCTTATGTGTTTCCCTGTTTCCAGTACAAGGTGGTTGGTTGACTTAGCTGCAATTTTGGGAAATACCATGGGGTTCCCCCTCGTCACAGCAATGGTGGAGGCTTTCAAAATTGTCAGTGCATGACAGCCCATCCAGAGAGGTCAGGAAAGCACAGCCCTGGTTTAGGTCTGGGATTGGAAGGAATGCCCCAGCTTCTGGAGGTACAAGGGCATCTGGACTGCCATGTGCCCTTATCTTGCACACTGGAGTCAGAAGAGTCCAGGGCTTGCTGCAGGCTCTCACCCAGGGCCTGTTCTGACAGTTGGTTCTGAGGGTGTTGGCCACAGGCTTTCTGCAGGCACCCTTGAAGTGTGGAGGCCTGGAGCTGGTACTTAGCACAAACTACAGTTTTTGGTTCTTAGATTCCTCTTCTGTATTACAAAAGACTCTGAAGTGGGCCTCCTTTGAGGAGTCTGTGGCCTGGGGAGCCTGGGAGATAAAATGCACCTAGAGCATCCCCGCCTCCAACCCTGAATCTTTGTTGGAGCATCTGAGGAGGGCTTCTTGAGCCACCTCCTAAAAACCATGAGGTTCCCATCAGGACAGCCTTTTCCACGCCCTATAACAAGAAATGGGTCAATTTTGATTGATCCCTAGAATTGGGTGGATAATTCCATTTGGGGTCATTAGGGTAGGGAACTGAGTCTCCTCCAGTACATGTAAGGAGCTGGCACAGACCATGGGCGCAGCATAGGTAGGGACCTTTCCTTCGGGTGTACTGGAAAAAGCAACACCACATCCTCATAGGTTGAGTTACGGGTGCAAGTAATATCCGATCCCTTGGTGTCGGGGCAGGCTCTGTGGTGTAGGGCCAAGACACGTCGGGCCACACTAGGGAGAGGATGGAACGTGGACATCAACAGCATCCCACAGTAGCCACCTCCCCGAGGGGCAAGCAGGGAGTAGAATGAGCACAGCAGGAGGCAGAACAGGTGGTGGGAGGAGAGGAGATTCGGAAAGAGTGGGGCACAGTTTCCGGTGGGAGAGACAGGGAGCCAGGACAGAGGTTCTGCGGTGGTGGTGGAGGGACAGACTGAAGCTCAGACCTTTGAGGCTCCGCAAGGTGAGGCCTGCTGTCCTTTTGAAGAGGCTCAGGAGATAGGGGTTTGATCTTTTCCCTGTGGAGGATAATGCAATAGGTACAGCACTGACAGACGATTACAGAGCTAGAAACATGCCCATATAGAGGGAACCTTGGAACTTGTTTCTCGTGATTAATGAAGCTATCTTAAATCTCTGATTTTGCGGGGCAAGAGTCCAATTTTCGGATGATACAATATCATTATCCAGTTTCTGCTGTGGCCAGGACAAATTGCCAGAGTCATCATTTTGGCCCAATTCTTTCTCTGTATATGAGGTGAATCCTTAGATGGTTTTGTGTGCAAGCGTCCCATGTAAAAAGGAAACAGCAGTGAGTTCCAGAGTCAAAACTCAGAAGAAAGAGCAGAGAGGAGAAATTCAGATCTCTTTCCCCGCCTTCTCAGCTCCAGGCACACGTAGCTGGACAGCCGCGCACCAGAGGGGTAGCCCCTCACCTGCCCTAGAGCCAGGCTTTTCAGACACATAAAGCAGAAGTACAGCAAGGCCCCCTCGACAAGACTCAAAAGAACTCACCTTGCCTCCAAGGTCCGTGACCGCTGTGTGCTGTTTATGGAGTGACAGAGAGCTGCCAGTTCTCCACAGATGGAGTCACCTTAAAATCGCCACCTGGGTTGCAGCACCAGTTGTCAGGTGTGTGGGGCTTTATGTCCCAGTAAGATGAAGAGTCATCTGATTGAGAGAGACAAGAATGTTAAAGTGAGAGGTGGCAGAGACAATTCAGGGAGAGTGGTTCAGTGCACATTGGGACAGCAAGCAGAGGGCCAAGCGAAAGCTCAACCCCTCCAGTTGTCTTCTTAAACTTCAGGCTGTGTGTGTGGGGGGGGGGGTGTCTTATAAGCTAGGAATGTCCCAGGCTAGCAACTGTGAAAGCCAGAGCTGAAAGAATTTCAGCCATAATATTCTCCAATATCCTCAGGGTCATTTTTAATTAGGCTCAGTTTACCAGGTTTCAAGGTCACAATTTGTGTCCAAGCACGATCCCAAGTACTAATACACATCTCCAAGTAGATTTCTTTTTTAAAGGATTAATTTACTTGAAAAGCAGAGAGAAAAGTATTCGATTTGTTATTTCACTTTCCAAATGCCTACAATACCCCAGACTAGGAACTCCATTTCAGGTTCCCATGTGGGTGACAGGAACCCAAGCACTTGGTCATCGTCCATCGCTTCCCAGAATGCATTAACAGGAAGCTGAATTAGAAGCAGAGCAACCAGGACTCGAACTAGGCTCTCCAATATGAGGTGCAGGCATCCCAAGCAGTGATGTAACACACTATGCCACATCCTTCAGCCCCCACGTAGCATCTCCAAATCTCATGTGTGCTTTCTTCCTATTCCAGAATTTTCATCATGTGCCTCAAAGATGTTAACTCTTCATAAAACCATAAATAATGTCAATGTAAGTGATCAAAAGCCCTCAGATGATATAGGATAATGAGGAAGGGCTAGCAAACAGTTAAATCAGTGAACATGTAAGATTTAGATTTTGAAAATAATCTGATCATTATTTTTAAAATTCAGATTTTTCTATCTCTTTTGACTAGCTATTCTCAAAAGATTTCACTGTCAATGAAAAAGCTAATAAAAAAACAAGCAATTTCCATCCTGCACTCTTGTAAAGAGCACCTGCTTCCTAAAGAATGCCTTTCATCTAGCTTGCTCATGTCACTTCCCCATGGACATAGATTGTCTGCCACGGTCATTTAATGACATATACCTTCCGAGTTACAAATTTTATTAGGTTTGATTTTGAAAATTACTACTTTGTGACATAACAGAACTCTTGGAGAGGCATACATTTGCTAATCATGCCTGATAATAAAGGAATGTTCCATTTCCAAAAGAAACTGCACAAGAAAAACATTTCATTATTCGTGGTCCAGAGTAAGTTATATAGGCCGATTATGATCTCTAGGTTAACAGTAACTTTGATGGATAGGGAGTTGATCCAAGTTAGGGAAGAAGATACTCTTGCTAGTGCCTATTCCAGGTTCAAGGCCAGGGTCTCTATGATTACAAAATTAGCACCAAAAAATATACAAATGTATTTTATATCAGTTTTGTGTTTGAGCCTTCAAAAGGGAATGAAATGAGTGCAGCTCAGTGGGCTTTTTCTACTAGATCTGACGTACGGAGTTGTGGAGAACTGGGCCAACAGCAGCTGAGCTGCAGGTGCCTCACAGTGTCATTGTGGCTCTCCCGTGAGTGTGGACTGCACAACGCTCCCCTGAGCCGCTTAAGCTCTGCCTCAGGGGAAGCAGCAGCAAACCGTTCCTGGCTTTGATGAACCTGCTACAGAGCAACAGGGCAGAGGAAAACACCAACCCACTGTTCCATGTTCTTAAATTCCCCGTGCCGATGTCCTCAGCAATAGCTGCCATTTTTTGGAATAATTTGGGGGGGCTTGAGTTGCAAGCAGCTCTTTAATTGCTATCCTGCCACACCAGCATCCCATAGTAGAAGGCCGATTCAAGTCATAGTTATTCTGCTTCCAATCCAACTACTTGCTAATGCACCTGGTAAAACAGAAGGGGAGCCTAGCAGCTTGGGCCACCCATGTGAGAGGCTGAGATGGAGCTCCTGACTTCAACCTGGCACAGCCTTGGTTGTCGCAACCATTTGGAGAGTGAAGCAGTAGAAAGAAGATCTCTTTCTCCCTTTAAAAAAATCTTCTATTAAAAAGAGACTGAATGATTTATTTATTTTTATTGCAAATATACAGAGAGGAGGATCTTCCATCTGATCATTCACTCCCCAAGTGACCACAATGACCGAAGCTGAGACAATCTGAAGCCAGGATCCCGGATCCTCTTCTAGGTCTCCCACACGGGTGCAGGGTCTCAAGGCTTTTGGCCATCCTTTGCTGCTTTCCCAGGTCACAAGCAGGGAGCTGGATGGGAAGTGGAGCTGCTGGGATTAGAACCAGTGTCCATATGAGATCCTGGCACGTGCAAGGCAAGTACTTCAGCCACTAGGCTCCCATGCCAGGATCAAATCATTCAATCTTAAGAAATTAAAAGCCTGGGAGAAGCACGATAGTATAGCAGTTGAAGTCCTAGCCTTAAACGTGCTGGGATCCGACATGGGTGCAGGTTCTAATCCTGGTGGCCCTGCTTCCCATCCAGCTCCCTGCTTGTGGCCTGGGAAAGCAGTTGAGGACAGCCCAAAGCTTTGGGAACCTTCACCCGTCTGCAAGACCCAGAAGAAGCTCCTGGCTCCTGGCTTCGGATTGGCTCAGCTGCAACCGTTGTGGCTGCTTGGGGAGTGAATCAGTGGACAGAAGATCGTCCTCTCTGTCTCTCCTCCTCTCTATATATCTGCCTTTCCAATAAAAAAAAAATTAAAAGCACATTTATAGTACAGAATCTGTACAAAGAAAGCAAAGTTCTTTTTCAGAGTATATAACCAAACCAAAACAATAGAAACCCTTGGAATCAACCAAAAGATCTGTTTTTCTAATGGAAACAGTCAATGTCATAGAAATATCAATTCTCTGAACTGTCAGAAATTAAAGTATTATCAACTTACTGTAATAAAAACAGCTTGATTCTGGCACTTAATAGAAAGATTAATGCAACAAAATAGAAGATAAAAAAACAGGAAAATGCAAATTTAGTAAATCACAAGTAAAATGTCAGTGGAGATAAAATGGATTATTTAGTAAATGATATTAGAGCAATGAACTACCTGTCTGGGGAAAATCATTCCTTTCTACAACAAAAACAAATTCATGATGTATTAAAATTGTAAATGTAATGAAAATTAAAGCAAGTATGCAGGAAAGCTGGAGGCTGTGTTGGCAGAGTAATTTTTTAATATATTGATTTTTATTGGAAAGGCAGATTTACAGAGAGAGAGAGAGACAAAGAGAAGGATGTTCCATCTACTGGTCCACTCTCCAAGTGACCACAACAGCCAGCCAGAGATGAGCCGATCCAAACTCAGGAGCTTCCTCAGGGTCTCCCTCGCGGGTGCAGGGTCCCAAGGCTTTTGGCATCCTTTGCTGTTTTCCACGTCATAAGCAGGGAGCTGGATGGGAAGAGGAGCAGTGGGGACCTGAATTGGTGCCTATTTGGGATTTCTGCACTTGCAAGGTGAGGATTTAGCCACTATACTACCATGCTTGGTCCAACAGTGTAATCTTGAGTAGGAATGGTTTTGATAGGACACAAAAGCTAGATTTCATAAAGTGGTGATTCTCAACCTTTGCTGCAGAGGGGAAGCACCTGAAGAACTTGTACAAGTTTCCATCCCTGGACTTCCCTTCAGACCTTCCGTACATAGGCCCACATTTATCTTTGAGCTCATTTCTTTGATTCATTGGTTTTTAACATGTTCTCTTATTTTGATACATGGGTGGATTTGAGAACAATTGCTGAAAATGAAACTTCAGATTATAACCATTTCCAGAATATGAGAGACATTCTTGTCAAAAATGGCCCATCTGCCATTTTGGCTTTGTGGCCGCCACACTGCACCCTTCTTTTGCAGCAACTTGCTGCCTTCTTGGCCCTCATTCAGAAATAAAAGTTTTGATACATTGTGAGAGGAAAGAGGAGTTGTCCTTTTAAGTATGTGTCACTAGGCCTGCAGGCAGCAAACAGCATGCTCAAATCAGGTAACTTGGGACAAGTTTAAGAAAGATCTACACAGGTGGGATCCTTGATGGTAGTCAGCACATGTGAGAATTTCTTAGGACAAAAAGCTGGTGAAGTGCAAATGGAATCTGTAGTCCATTCAATAGCATTGGGCCAGTGTCAGTTTCCTTATCTTGAAAAGTTACTCTTAGAAGTGCTAGCTGTTGTTACTGTGAAAAAAATGTAAGGTGTTATCTATTATTGGAGGAAGCTGGGTGAAGGTACACAGATTTTCTCTGTGCTATTCGCACAACTTCCTATGAATCTATCTCCTGTTTTAACTTCTTGTTTTGAAATAATGAGACTACATGTGAAGATATGAAAGGAGAAATGCAACTGTCTGGGGGTGGGGAGAACAAGTTACATGCAAAGAACCATCTGATAGGTGCTTGAGGTCTATCATGGAAGCCAAGACCTCAAATTCATTAAAATTGGACTCCTATTCAGTGTTTGACAAAGATTAAGTTGGACCTTTGCTAAAAGAATTTAGGAAGAATGGACATTGGCTCATGTGGTTATGGAGGCTGAGATGCCTGAAGATCTGCTGATTGCAGATGTGGGAGAATTGACATTATAATTCCAGAGACTGGGTGCTGAGAAAAATTGGTGATGCAATTCTAGGCTGAAAGCCAATTGGTTTGAGACCCAAGGAGAGGCAGTGTTTCAGCTGAAGTCTGCGAGCTAGAACAGACTGCCATCTGAGCTCCAAGCAACCAGGCAGGAGGAACGCCCTCTTGTTTGCAGGGGATGTGCCTCATCCCATCCCCATTTAGGCCTACAACTGGGTGACTGAGGGCTATTCACATTATGGAGGGAAATCTGGTTTACTCAGTGTATCAATTTAAACATTAATGTCATCTAAAAATACCCTCAGATGCATACCTAGCCTAACATTGGACCAAATATTTGGGCATCCTTGGCCTGGTCAAGTTGACACAAAAACTATCGCAAGGCTGGATATGCAAGCTTTTCCTATGAAGGAATAAGTTATCAGAATAGATAGCTAAATTCCCCTCCCTTTATCTCACTAAT